ATTTCAAGCAAAGCACTTGTATGAATATATATGGAAAGAGAATATTCGTCGCGGTTGTTACTTATTCGATTATATATAGGGATTATAATGAAAAGCAAACCCCTGACTTGATTTTATTTAATTTACATATTAATTTTATTTAACTTTTATTATATAAGGTCTTTAACTTTAAGGTTTCACTCAGTGCAGATTAATTTTAACTGTGATTTTTTTCTTGTTTGTGTTGCATTACTAAAAGAGCCCACCAGGTTGGTAAAATACTATAATCAAATAATATTTAAATAGAAAAATATTCAAAACAGCACTTGTTGGATGATTGCGTAGTTGTTTCAAAATGATTCACAAGGAACAAGATGAACTGGACATTTTAAAAATTCAATTCTTAGACACCAAATTCTAATCTTAGCATTTATTTCATCTTGATATAAATAATACCAGTTCGAAGAGCAGCGAGTGTTTGTCCTTTGTTAAATCAAAGCAGTGATTTAATGTAACATTTGAGAAAACAGATCAATTGAGTTATATGGCAAAATTATGCTGCAATGTTTCTTGGCACTACACGGTTATTGAACTTTTGTCCAAACAAACGAAACTTTGCGTCATTTTCTTAAAATCACACGTAAACATATAAAAAGCGTCTATCTTATACAGGAGAAAGCCGATAAGTAGGAAGGGAAGGACGGCTGGTGTGTGAAGATCAATAAGTTATGATTAACTAAGTCCGACGCTTTACAAAAATCAGTATATACAACATCCGTGCGAGAATCGCTAGAAAAAGCTTTGAAAACATGGCAAGTAAATTCTAAGAGATTCGTAACAGTTGATCTTTCTTTCAGAAAATCATGCTGGAATGGAGAAATATACGATTTGATAGCTAAAACTATATACTGGGTAACAATTCGCTGAAATAATTTAGGTAAACTTGGCAGCGTGTCTATAGTTCTATAGTAAACCTTGTCGACCTTCGTAACTTCGTTACACGTTAAACATTCTAATCAAAATTACAAGTGATTACTAAATTTTTCGAAAACAGAAAATGAGTTTCATGTTTGTGATCGTGAAGCTTTTGTCACGGTCAACCTTTTATTGATTAGAAATGAAGAGAAATATATGTAAATATAATTTGCAAAACTATATTCTTGTGTTCGTCCATTTGTTTATTTATTTCTAGGGGAAGATTCATTTCTTCAGACATATCTTTTAATGCGAACCAAGTAGTGTTTTCTCCTTCCATATGATGACATGCTTTCTTTATTTTCGGAAACGAAAACTTCGTACAATTATATAGTTGCTACATATGTGCTATGTGAGTATATTGTTAAATCAAATAAAAATTTTGAATCCACGACATTTTTCCTTCACCAGAAGTATATCTTCTTCAGAAGCCTTTGCCCTTGCTGTCAGTCTCAACATTCATAGCTACCGATATGGCGTATACGTTTATTAAGAGATGAAGGAACTGTTTCCTCTCCTTTAGTTTTTGGACAATTGTGCATTTTTTTTTTCAGGTTTATCGGACACCGCCAGCATCGCGGCCGAGTGATTTGCTACACTACTTGTTACTTTTAAGACCGATTTCATATCTCGACCTCTTGTTTTATTTAATTCATTTCCATTCTGCTCTTTTTGAATTGTTATATCCTCAACAATTTTAAAATGAGTGTCCAAGGTTACCGGGACATCACCGTCGTAATCATTCGCTATTTCTGTTTTATCGTCTAAAAAATAACAAAATGACGTGAAAATTGATTAATCAACCATCCTCTTAGAGGATGAAAGAAAATAAAATTAATATACTTTCTGTGACCCCGCTTTTAACAATAAAATTTCAAACAGCAGGTTATCAATACCTTCATCTTCTAATTCTTCCAAGGATTGAAATTCTTCTGCCTCTAAATACTCTTCAAGTTCGTCATTTTCTGTTTCACACCGAACGAATGCTTCATCAATTGATTCAATTGGACCTTGATTTATTAATATTTCATCAATTTGTTGTATCATTTCATGTGGATGTTCTCGTGAATTGGAGGTATTGGCCACAAACTTTGTATTATCTACACTTTTATGAGAAGTATCTTTGTTGAAATCTGCATTCGGCAAAAGCTGGGATCGTTGCTTATTGTTGAAGTAGTCGTTTTGAAGCTTCAACTTTTGTGTAGAAATCGTAAGACAATTGTAGTTCAAGGGCGCAGGGCTTGCATAAGTTTTGAGGTAAATCATCATCGGCTGTTAAATCTATTTGGGTGCATATAAGGAAGCAATCCGCATAAGTCAGGTTTTCTTCTTTATTATATATTGTGTTTGTATCTAACACTTCCTCTGGCAATTCTAAGCAAACTCGACAATTACTTGTTGTTAAGTTGGATGCAGTAATTTGCATTTTTTTCCTTTAGTTTCAAAGTTCAGTTCAGTTATTTTTTATTTTTCTGGTGTGAGGCCTTTCCAGCAGGACTATACCTCCAGTAACAGCTTTAATATTTTTCTTTCAATAAATTCACAACCTTTAACTAGGTTTTTCACAGAATTGAATTTTTGGATGATATTTTTCTACAATTTTTGATTTTATTGACTTATTAGTTATTTTAATGTGTTGGGTGATCTCTATCAAAATTTAATATGGTCTGTTATATCGAAAATAAGTAAAAGTTAGGTTTACAACACAATTTAAGAAAAATTATCTTGAAGTCGGTTATTTAATGATTACTTCCACTGTTTTGCCAGCCACAATCTCTTTTTCTTCCTGATATACCTTACTTTTCTTAACTACATTCGCATTTTATAAGCATCAGCACCGCGTAGTTTGCGAACGCTTTCCGAAATTTTACATCTCTACGTTTTTTGCTACAGTTTTCTTTTTTTTCTTAATAAAATTATGCGAATAAAACAAACAAGCTAGTATGTGAAAATTATAGCAGCAATTCTTTGGCTAAATTAATAATAATAATATAATAGTAAATTTTTAAATTCACATGAAGTTATCAGTGAAAAAGGGTGTGCTGGATAATTTACGTAAATTGCAGAATCGTATGTCGCACATCATTGAATAAAACTATTAAATTCTGGAAAAATTTATTATGCTTAAGTAACATTTTAAAATTTTTACCGTTACTGCTGCAGCTAACTTTTTATAAAATTTTTACATACAATTTTTAATTTAATACATGTGAAATAGTTAAAGGTTTTATTTAAATAAATGTTACAAAAAATTGAACAATCAACTTGATCGAAATTTACATATCAGAATAAAATAGTCACAATTGTAATGCACTTATTTCTTTCGACTCTTAATGGTATTTCCACTTCATTATTAATACAACCTTAAGAGCATTAACCCCTGGATACGTTCGATAGTCTTCCTTAACCTTAATAAGATTGTCTATTTCGACATACGCAACGGAAAGGTTCGTCAAAGCTAATTCTTTGAGTAAGAAATGAGCACTATTTGTAGGATATTAGTGCTTTCCTCAACTTTGAAATTGGGAAATCGCTTGGGATTCGTTGCGATCAAAAATAAATTCCCTTTTAATGCAAGTCTCAGGCTTAATATTACAGATCTGAAACTTTACAAATTTTCTTTACGAGGCATTTTACTCTCTAGGTCCAAAAATGGAACCAATCGGCCGTGTCCACACAAAGTTACGTGTGATTAAATTTAATTTTTTTCACTTTTTTAAAGTGTAATGCTTGTTCATCATAAGACGAACAAGAGAAAACGTTTAAAACTATTTTGTACATTCCTCAAATGAAGATAATACTATCTGCCTAAAAATGGGTTCATTTTAAAATGAATATGATATTCATCGCCATTAAATTTATTGAACACAATAATAATTTTTAATACAATACAAAATATTATTCTTTTGCACATTTTCTTACACTTTCTTTATATATCTTAAATTTATTCAAATAACAAAAAATTTTAATGCAATATACAATTTTATTTGGTATTTCCCTTTTTTATTAATAATAAATTTCCTTTTTTTTGGTAATTTTTCTCTCTATTTCAATCTTTCATAAAGCACTTGCGAAATGGTTTTGAGAGATAAAGACCGCTGCTGCAATAAAATCCAATGCAATTTCTTGGCATAAAAGCCAATGTTTTAATATTGCCTACATGTTCATTCCAATGATTTTGCTTATGATTCCCGCAATGCGTGCTGACGCATACCTTTGAAGGCGAAAATTCCAGGACTTTTTTTCTTTGTCCACAAATCTGTTTATGTTTACATTTTTTTTTGGATTTAAGTATAATATAGTTTTCAACAAACGAATTAAGAAAGTTTAAAATAAAGTGTTTAATAAAGTAATCAATGTAAAAAAATTTGATGTGTTAATACACTGGGATTCTCTGAGTCACCCACAGGTAATGTTTAATAGTTTTCTTTGCTTTTTTGTATTCTGCAACACCCTTTTTCTCGACATTTGGGATAAATTAACTAATCGTAAATGCTTTGAAAAGTTTGCAATCATTTTCCACGGTACTTCGTTAAAGAATCTACTCCTATGTAGATACACTGAATAATGATGAATTCCACGTAGCAATTTGATGACCCGTAAATTATGTGAGCAAGAG